CATATTTTTGGTTCTTTCCCTTCAACAATATTAGATGTTTAATCGCGTGAAATGCAATGGACTAAAGATATTTGTCTTCATGTAGGACTGTCAGTTGGAAATTCATGGCAGGACGAGTATTTTATTGTATGTTTCCTAAAAGGGAATCTATCTTGATTATTTAATTACTTTTGTCTTTTTTTATTATGTTAAAATGTAAATTGATGTAAATATATATAAAATGTGAAATATGTGAAATATAACACCACGGTAATAGGACAAGAAAAAATCTTGATTTGTGAAGAGCTATTTATTGTTAACAATAGGCAAAATGGGCATAAAATCATGGTTTTGATATCATTATCAAATGTTATATACCTCACTTTAGAAATCCAGCCATCTGATCGGTCGAAATTGGAGTCGTGATTTTAGCCATTTCCGTAACGAAACGTAAAATGCCAAAAACCAGTCAATAGTCTTTTGAAAAACGCCTAGGGCACTTTTCAAAAGACTATTGACCGGTTTTGGCAATATACGTATAGGCCTATATGCGTGCAATCTCAATGGGAAGGATTTTAGCACACAAACTCGAGTGGTGCGCGACCAGACACCCTATTAAGACTAGGTCTCGATAGCGTAAACAAACTTGATTACCATGCTTGGTAAGTCGCACATGTATTCTATGACCCTTTTCGGTATATAAAAGTTAAAATGACTGCTTTAATATTCGAGGCATAGTTGTTTTTAAAGGCTCTCGGGGAGGTTACATCGTGCTATCACCCCTCGGCACACCTCGGGGCGATAGCACGATGTAACCTTCCCTTGAGCGTAGACAACTATGTCTCTCATAGCAGTAATTATTACTGTACTATTATGCATTTGGGAACCGCTCCTGCTCATAATTATTTGCAATATTTATATCTAGGATAAACTTTTACAAGCACAAAGTTTTTCTTTAATGACTTCCTTCATAGGTGATGTGTGTAAATTAGCAAGGATTCGGCAAGGATAAACCACGCACACTTGAGATTTACAAGTTATTTATTATGGCAAAAGAAAGCTAACATGAGTGTAAATTTCATTCTGTCCAAAACCTTCGCCATTGTCAATGTGATGAAAGTGGGATAGTTCAAAATCTGTCACGTTAATTATTGTTCCTTTTCACCCCGTTTTACGGTGTTACTGAGGGATCCTAATTCTTATCCCGACACTACATTCAGCGTTGCATTACTTCTTACTCTTCTGTGGTAAATAGGAGTTTTATAAATATTTGTATTTAATATCTCTGTCCGTTTCATGTTTTGATGCTTGACGCCGATATACGCAGTGATGTTGGTGTCAAAATTCTACGTGTACATGCTTTAAGGAAAGCATCGCAGTATATAATATACACATGTGTTTTATAGATAGGCAAGCCAATTATACATTGCATGCAAATGCTAATTAGTCTCTGCAACTGGTATGTTAGGAATTTCCGATAACATGTACTACCGCAGCGTGCCGCATATATTTGTAACGATGGTCTTTGTGGTACACTAATGTACTATACTTTGTTGGAAGTTAGTTGGGTGAGAACGGAAAGGAAGCCTGGCACACGATCATGAGTATACCTTTTGGGCACCTTAATAAAGGCTCCCCTCTCTCTTAACACACTTAATACAGTCATGTTAATAATTATCTTAAAAGCTTATGTTTTGTTTCATTATATAGAAATCATCGGTTTTTATCAAAGGACGATTCTTCTTTTCCTGTCACCTCACACTCTCTCTTTATAATTTATATTATATGCCGATTGTTCTTTCCCTCATTTCTTGATTCTCCCCGAAAGTATTTTTCTCTCATGTCAAGGGCTTTTTCTAAACAAAAGTGTCTTTCTCGTCACACTCGGCCTTTGCGGTATCTTTCCCTTTCTCTCTGAAATACCTTCTCAGCCTTCCTTTGTTTAAGCTATAGTCCTGGTGATGGTATACTGTAAATGTACGTTTTTTGAAGAAGCATAATTATCACACAAAGCTTTCACTAAATTCACACTTGAATATTTTCATTCTGTTAACAATAGATAGCTCAGGAGGGTTTAAGTAGTAATTTACATAATAGGCTCGAAAATCACTCTTCACAAAGGCTCGGGGTAACAGCCCATGGTACATTGTGAGCACAGTCTGAACGCATTGCCATTACACAGTGGCCGAGTTGTCTTTTACAGAACATTTTCTAAAGGTCGCAGACAAAATATAGATATTTTTTTCGTCCGACAAGGACCATGCTTTTCTCTTTTATAAAAACGGCTCCTTTCTCTATAAAGACACGTATATAAAGATAACAATGGATAATTATCAATTGACATGAATTAATCGTTTTAAACGATCTCTCCGTGCTCTAAAACTTGATCTTTTGTCAGTTATTCTCTTTTATCGCTGCAAGAGTCTTGACTGCATGATATGTTAACAACCAGTGGCGGATCCAGGAATTTCTGACCGGGGGGGGGGGGGGGGGCACAAAATTGCATGGGGTGAAATCAGTAGCGTACGCAGGATTTTTTCTAGGGGGGGGGGGTTGACATTTTTAAATCGGGCCGAAAATTTCGCAACGACTCAGCCGACCGCTGAACAAGCGGGGGTAGGGGTGCACGTGCCTCCTGTGCCCCCCTCCCCCCCCCCCCCCCTCCTGGATTCGCCCCTGAACAACGTTTATTCTTTGTCTCCTGCTGATATCGCATTATCTGATATTTTCTTTACATTCATTACTAAAGATGTATGAAATTCTGTATACTAATATTGTAGTGTTATCGTTTTCTTTTCATATCGGAAAGGCTTAAAAAGGATTCCCTTTACGTTTATCAATCAATTAAACTTTTGTATTTGGAATGAGGAAAGCCTCACACCAATTTGCTACGAAGATTGTTATATTCGCTCGTAAGGTGGCGCCCGTCATGATACCTTTTCTACCTACATGTACGTAGAGCTTGTCATTTAATCATTTCCCCCATAACTGTTTGGTTTCTCTCTCTCTCTCTCTCTCTCTCTCTCTCCCGCTCTTCATATTCCGGATTTTTTTGTCCTCGATTTCTTCCCTGTAAAAGGTGATTTATTAGTGGCAGCATGCTTCAAAAAAGCCATGTAACGCCGAGAATATTGAGAAAGGTTAAGGGAGAGAAGAGATACACACAAATTACTGAGGTCTATAAAATAGTCTGCACTGGAAGACATACCAAGACAAATAAGAGGGATAGACAGCATAACAGACAAAAAACAGACATCAACAGACTAGTGACAAATAAAAATAAAAATTTAACTTACAAAATAATGACCAACAGGACAATTAATTATTTTACGTGTTTGCATAATTTATATTGATGATAAATTGGAAAGGATCATAAACAGTCGTAAACAGTGAGACATTATACCATGCTTTGAATCTCCATTGAAATATAACAAAAACGATTATCGTATTATTATGATTTCTATAGATTTCTATACATTTTATTCAATTTTTTCAACTCCTTGAGTACATGCTTTTGATAGGCCAACAATGCATACAAATTCACCCGCCAAAGTCGATGTACAACATTTACTTTACCCATGACAGATATATCGCATTTATAAAATATGATGATTATCCCTGTTAACAACTAAATTATTCATACTTTTACCAATTTTTGTAACTTTTTAAATACGCGAAAGATTGATAAGTCCCCATTTATGTTGCTTGAGAAAGTCTCTTATTAAATCTTACATTTAAAAGCATTCAAGAAAGGCCTTAATTAAACTAATCCACCTTTGATTCTTGAGTTCCGAAAGGAAAACATCAAATTTACAAAGAGTACGAATAATTGAATTGTTAACTGTGAATCACAATCAAGAACATGATCCCATATTACTACATCGTACTTTTTCGGCAACCGTCATAAAACACATAGTTTAAAAGGGTTTCATATAGCGAGTGAAGACAATAAAAAAAATTGTTTGATGATATTTTATTCCTTCCTCATAAATTCACATTACAAGAAATTATCACAATAAGTCATTTAGAAATCTTCGATACAAGACACTTCATGAATTACATCAATCAAAGAACAATGAACATAGACAAATCTCAAATTATACATGATTGTACATTTTTTTTTTCTTTCATGTACCAGTTTATAATCCAAATAACAATATGGAACGTAAGAAGTTAAATAATCCCACCCAATTCATTTTTTATTTCCTTCCTCATCAATTGACATTACAAGAAATTATCATAATAAGTCGTATAGAACAAGATCTTCGAGAAACTTAGATGTTCACACAGTGTACTGCGCCCTCTATGTCTTGCCTACTTTATTCAGGCCAAAAGTTGAACTCGGAATGCAGCAGTGTTGATATCGTATTTTTTCTGTGGTTATGGCACATTTTAAAGTAATTTCAATTTGTTATATAAAAAAAGCTATCCAAGGGTGAGCTTCTTTACTACTCACCGAGTGGGAGCTTGTGTTTTTAAAGGGTTCATCATGCGGTATCTTAAACTCTCAATTTCGTACACTGTCGCTCATATAGTTGGAATATTTTTGTTTTACCCCAATTTATGGAATTATTTTAAAAATAATTTTAAAATAATAGATCTAGATAATAGTATACATTCTCAGATGTTATTGAATAATAATTTGCCAATGTGTGTTTTGCGTGACTGCTAAAGCATGTGTATGCTACTATGCTTATCAACTAGGGGACCTACGCCCTGAGGATTAATGCCCCACAAAAGGGCACTAATATAGCACATCGACACGGTTTTGATATTGGGGCCTCACAGTTACGAGGCCATTGCTTTGTCATTGAACCATGACTGTACGCAGCGGGGTCTAGGGTAGGGGGCAGTTTCCATAAATTAAAAAAAAAATATATAAAAAAAAATGCAATAAATTGTCAATTATTTATTGCATTTTATCCCGGTCCCCAACTTAAAAAAATCCTCTGGACGGCCATGAATTATGACTCAAGTTGTTTCAAGTTATTTAAGTTATTTTAAACAATCCTTGGACTTGGTTAACACACAGTCTGTAACACCAAAGCAACCAGATTATCTAACACTTCAGTCACATCGCCAAACCGACTTCAAACCGATTGAAAACCCGACCGAATTTCGGCAAGTTGGTGTAACGTAAAGATTATTCAGCCTTCTCTCGGTCTGATGTTAAAGAAAAAAATGAGGTAATCTTCAGGGAGCTTAACATTAAAGTAACATTCAATTTATTTCGAAGAATTATCTTTTCGCTAATGTTTCCTTAGACATTATTTCGGAGCTCAAGATTACGCATCATTATGTTCGACAAAAAAAAGATTTACACTTCTTGAGACAGGTCAATCATAATTATGTACTTGATAATAGCAGATTTTTGTATCAGTTTTCAAAATCAAAATTTGTATTCATTTTGGCGATACAAGTTTACATCGCGAAGCCATTTACTTAAATAAAAGGCATACCCGCATGTATTAAAAGGAATTGACAGCGCGTATAATATTATATACACCAAGCATAGATTAAAATTCAAAGTATTTTGTTACGCTTAGACAGCTTAACTTGTCGTTATATTATCTACAATTTGAAAAGCATCCAGTGGAATATAGCAGTGTTCTTTCTTAAACATTGATTCATTTAATACAGATACAAACTCGATTATAACGCCACGTATTTTGATTTCGTCGTTCTTGAAATAGATGAAAATAGACAAAAGATACATTTCCATCACCAATTTGAACACTTATCCACAAAGTCTCGTCAATGTGAGTTTATTTCAGTCAGAAGGAAATACTCACAATCGTTAGGTTTCCTTTCATGACGATCTGGGTTGCAATGTTCCCACAACATGTCAGTTGTATTGTTGTCAGTACAATAATGACCGAAAAACCACGAAATTATCAAAAACTGAGGAAGACACGCGTGGTGGAGCATGATGTACACGTTTGCATAGTTTCGTTCGCTACTAATTACTTGTTCCAGCCTCCTGGGTGGATGATCCCGTCTCACTGCTTGATTCATGTGCATTCGCCGATTTCTTGTTAAAGTCCATGACAGCAGCTAGTTCTGAAATGGAGGAGCAAACATAAATGTTATGGGGCCGTAAAATAATGCCTCGTCACAGAGTTTAACTAAGATATTTGGTTTCAATACGGTGCCAGGTAAAAATGTCAGAGGTAAAAATGTCAGAGGAAAAAATGTCAGAGGTAAAAATGTCAGAGGTAAAAATGTCAGAGGTAAAAATGTCAGAGGAAGAAATGTCAGAGGTAAAAATGTCAGAGGTAAAAATGTCAGAGGTAAAAATGTCAGAGGTAAAAATGTCAGAGGAAAAAATGTCAGAGGTAAAAATGTCAGAGGAAGAAAATGTCAGAGGTAAAATGTCAGAGGTAAAATGTCAGAGGTAAAAATGTCAGAGGTAAAATGTCAGAGGAAAAATGTCAGTTGTAAAAATGTCAGAGGTACAAGCAAAAAAAATGAGTGCCGTCATAATATCTCAACACTTTTATCACACAGAATGTTGAGACGTACTGCTACTGCATGGGCTAGTCTATTATATTCCTTTCTTCCATAATGTAAATTTTATAAATGGCTGTGTGTTGTATTTCGTACATGTCCCGAGGATAATACAATGTGGAAAATAGATTTTGAAATTTATTTTGTTGTGATCAGGCTTGCATATAATATATGTCTAACATTTTTTGATATTTTGAATTGGTTGATGTGTTAATGTTTGTGAAACGGACCGTTTGGCCGGTGGCAGCCTGCAACATAGCCCGTGTAACATTCCAGAGACGAACAAAGACCAAACGAAGAAATGAAAATTCTCGACAAAAGTCAAGTGTTAAAGTGAGTAGTGCATTTAGTACAAAATAGTTACATAATCACGAGGAATCACGAAAAGTTACATATAAGGGCTGGGCGCCCCGAACTCTGCTAAAGCTTTTAGCACCTCATGGCGGCAAAGGAAGTGGAGTAAGAATGAGAAAAAACAAGAAGTCGCCCGAAAAGTAAAAAGTCGCTCCGAAAACTAAAAACCCACTCCAAAAAGTAAAAGACCGTCTCGATTCAGAAGCTCATCCCCATTTTAAACTCTCCGACAATTATAAATAACGATGTAATTTAAACCGAACCTCTGCAAAGCGCGCGCTTCTCTAAAATGTGATGGTGCGGTTGGCATTTAAAGATAAAGTTGAGTTCTGGTCTTGCGATTGCATTGTGAAAGAAACGGTGTGGAAGCAATCAGAAAAGGTTGATCATCTAGCATAAACATGTAAGTATTGGTGTGTAGTGCAAGGTTTTGGAGTCATCAAAATGATAAAATCTTTGGTACACAGAAAGATATTGATATGGGACTACACAAACATATGGCATACAAATCGGGCCTCATTTTAAAGCTGTTACTTGTCATATCTGGGATATGAAGTCATATGAAATAGATTTTCAGGGAATAACTTTTTTCTTTGATGTTCTTCCACACTTGCATAATAAGAATGATAACAAACGCTCACACATTATTGTTCACCTTTCCCCAGAACTCAACCTTCTCTTTAATTGATGTAACATGGGCGGCTTGCTGCTTTGTATCGGAGTAACAAAGCTGCTTATTGATTTTTCCCAGACTACTTTATACCGCAATAGTAATCGACAATATTTTATTGCAACGTGCGCACTTCGGAATGTGATGGTGCGGGTAGCACTGATAACATGGCTTTCTGCTTTGTTTTCAGCATGGACCCTACTTTCAGAGTATCAAAATACCAAGCCCACAAGAAAGTGGAATTGTCGGAAATATGCATTTATTGGAAATTACATATAATAGTAGTCATTGCCACACAGTTGAAATGTCAAACAATCTTCAAAGTGAAGAAGTGGGGGGGGGGGGGGGTCATAGATATCTGATCATATTTTGTGGGCTGTACTGACTTTTCTTTTTATTTAATGATTACACCATGGAGCGACAACTCAGCCTATAAAACATGGCCAAACTTCTCGATTTTAGAAATCTTTTCCCCCAGAAGTTTGCTCAGTGTACCAGTACCATTTGCTTATACAAAAGCATAATATACCGTATATCAATATTGAATAAGGCAGACTAATGGGACATGCATGGTTGCTACTCCGAGTTTCACGCCTTGCAAGCGATCATCAGACAACTGATAGCTTTCGTCAAAGTACATGATTCCTCTACAACCTTGGTACAAATACGCTCAAAATAAGAGCTATACAATACAATAAGACTACAATACCTGAATACAATACAATAAGAATACTCATGAGTAATTCCAATTGTATTTTATTAGTTAAGTCTTATTTTAGGGGTATTTGTACCGATTTAAGGTTGTAGGATAACCATGTACTTTTAAGAATGCTATCAGTTGCCTGATGACTGCGTGCAAGGCGCGAAACTCGGAGTAGAAACCATGTCCCATTAGTCTGCCTGCTCTGCCTAGGCATTGACCACTGTTCGGAAGGATATATAGCAAAGCATATAAGAGGAAGGGGGAGAGCAGCCGGGTTACCGTGCCCCCAGAAGAAGAATACCCCCCCCCCCGTCTTCCTTCGACAATAATCGAGCAAAAAGTCACATTTTGGGGCCGAAAGGTAAATAAATTTAAACTGGGAAGTGGAGAATAAAGCAGCGGTGAAATAACGACTGCAGAATATCCCTCGCTGTTCTTTTTCGATAAGCCTAATATATAACCCGGGTGTAACCATAACAAACTTGTCACATGCTTTTGTTTTTATTTTATACCTCTAACATTTATACCTCTGACATTTTTACCTCTGACATTTTTTCCTCTGACATTTTTACCTCTGACATTTTTACACCGAGCCTTCAATACACCAACATGAATAAGTTTCCACAGCTTTAGCAAAAAAAGAGAGATACGAATTGTGGGATACAAAGTTAGTTTGAGAGAAGGATTTAGGAGCGGGACAATTTCTTACAATAACAAGATGATAGTCAAAGGAAAATACTATAGGCCTAAGATATTCGATTGTTTATGAGAAGCTTGGTCGTAAAAAGACGCCGCGGGTTATACTTTAGCGGAGTTTTCCCTTTAGCAGCTTAAAGGTATTACAAAGCTTATAAAACATCCACAGGGGCATCCAAATATATCAAAATTGTAAAGATTCACTATCCACCCAATTTTCAAAATTTCCCAAAACTTTGTATTACCTTTAACAAACGCCTCATGAATAAGAAAAGGAGTAATTGGTGTAATGTGCCTTCTGTAATTTCTAAAATTATGTTTTGATAAATCATAGGGGATGCCCAAACTATAATTGCTCTCAATTATTCAGAGTGGGGTTCTGGATATATTATTCAAGTTCAAGTTCAAGTTCAAGTTCGTTTATTTATTTCATTTCCATAAAAACACAGCAAATGCAAATAACATACAAGTATAAATACATACAAGGAATGGTCAGTTATTACAATAGTTTAAAATGAAATTGGAGAACATAGGAAAGGCCATGGTGGCTTTGTATAAAAAGTTCCCCGAATATTATAATTTATATTATTTATATTATTGAGCATATATGAGTTCGAGATATCACAAAATACAGCGATAAACACAAAATACAGCAATAAACACAATATAAAGACAAAAAACTACAAACATATGTATGAAATAATCTAAAATTGGAGGCGGGGGGGGGGGGGGCAAAAAGGTTTGGAAGGTAAATTTAACGGTACTCAGAATAAAAGGTCTTTTCATTTTTGTTTTAAATATTGAACTGTTTTTATAAAAGCGGAGGACTTGAGGAAGAGTGTTCCATATGTTTGGCAAAGTATTTCTTACAGATTTTTTAGAAAATGAACTTTTTACTTTCCATAAATGAAACGTGTTACAAAGCCGAGTATTGTGAGTATGAATTTGGTTATTGATCGAAATATGGAGGATATTCTTTTTGGAAGTATATTTTGAAATTATCGCTGTATCGCTGTAAAATTTCGGTGAATCATGTAAAATGAAACGCAAGGAAATGTCTATATAACCCAGGGGTAGGTCCATTACTCATCATGAAGTATTAGGTTCTAGGACACCAACCCCCTGGACATCAACCACCGGATAATACCCCCTAGGACAAATACCCCCTAAGACAGCTACCCCCTAGGGCAACCACCCTCAAGGGAAACTACCCCTGGGACCCTAACCCTTACCCCAACCCCAATCATAACCCTAATTCATAACGGAGCTCGCATGTGAATGAAGCGAAGTTAAGGATATTTACACATACCGGTTTATCTTTTGCGTCAGATCTCTATGTATCGGTAAAATTTGCTTCTGTATGATGTTTTCGTTCACACAGTCATGTTTTAGATTCCCTTTTAACGCTCTGCGTGCGTGTGTGCGTGTGCGTGTGTGTATGTGCGGGTGGGGATGTGGTTTTTTTTAATGAATTAAATCCCCGCTTACATTGTAAGAATCTTATGCAATTTATTTGTTTTCTTTGAGCCCTTTTTCTCCACTCCAAAATGACCTCAGCAGGGGCGGATCCAGGATTTTCCAAAAGGGGGAGGCGTGAAATGAAAAAAAATTTTCGAAAAGAGCGAAGCCTTTACGGCTTTATGAACCTAAAAATGGTCTATAGTAAATGCGTAAATTGAACATTTACGTGCATAATTATTTCTTAGCTTTTTCCCATTTTTTTTTTCTCGGAAGGAGTAAAGGGGGCGTGCGCCCTACGCCCTCTTCCTGGATCTGCCCCTGCTAAGTGACCTAAAGTGAGGATTTTAAACTGCCAACCTTCACTCTGGACAAAAGCTATCCAGAAATCTATTAGTCCCGCATACTCACCTTCGAAGGATATATCACCATTGTCATCGAGATCCAAATCGGCAAGCATCTCGGGGATATCCTCTTGGATGACGTCATCTTTCAAAACTTCGAGAACCATTCGAAGTTCGTCTTTCCTAAAAGCATGAAATGTTACATAATGTATTCAAAATATATTATTCTGATCGAAATGTTATTATGATACTGTTTTCATTAAATTTGTTTTCTCTCACTCTTTCCTTCTCAACCTCTCCCTATTTCTCTCTCTTTCGCTCTCTCTCTCTCTCTCTCTCTCTCTCTCTCTCTCTCGCTCTCTCTCTCTCTCTCTTTCCTCTCCCTCATTCTTTCTCTCCCTCGCTTTTCCTCCCTTATTCCAATTCATCTTTCTTCGTTTCCTTTTCTGTCCTCTCTCTTTTCCTTCCCCAACCCCTCTCTCCCCCACTTTCCCTTACCCTCTTTCTCTCTCTCCAAACTCTTTCTCCACCCCTCCTCTCAATTTCTCTTTCCCCTCTATCTCTCCTTCTTCTCTTCATCTCCCATTCTCATCTCTCGTCCATCTCGTACTGCCAATGGTCAGAGGATTCATTCTTATCTTCACTCATACGCGGTGTACCTATAAAGCCGTTTTATTTGAGTATTTGTTATATATATATCTTGTCACAATTTATGAAATATTTATGTTTTAGACTATGTTAGTTTGCATTTTATATTTCACTTGTACATTTGTATGTTTTTTTTTATGTTTTTATGCTAATCAGGCTACTCCGTCTAAATGTTCATGAATAAATACATAAATAAATATATATGATAAAAAGCCAGAAATCTGCAATTGGAATCTGTTTATATTAATGTTCATTCTACTTACTTCATGATTCCTGTATTTTCCTTATCAAAGACTCTAAATACATCGGCGATGATGTTTTTCTCATCTTCATTTCTTATCTCCGACATGATGAGGAGAAAGTCAGTGAAGTCGATCCAACGGCCACGCACTGCAATTTTGCAAAAAGAAATAAGTAATAGAGCTAAATCAAAATGTAAAATGTAAAAAAAAGTCGTATAATGATTGAGAAAAATAGTTTACCATCGTGACTATGAATTTGGAGCTAGGATCAGGGCCCCATTGCATAACACTTACCACTAACTTGGTCATCAATATTAACTATCGTGGCACATCACTCAACAACTAATCGATTCAAAGTTTCCATGGAAGCTACCATTAATGGCAATGTTTTCTATTTTAATGCAGACCTTCTTTGGTCATTTGGTTAAAAATAAGGATTAGACGAAATAATTTAGAAGACCGATTAGTCATAAGACAAACTTATTATTATTTATAATTATCATTATGCATGTGTGAATTTAAAGAAAAAAGAAGTTTGAAGAACAAATCATGTTTGGGGTTTGATTGGTTTTCTAATTCTCGTGTTGCATCCTCTGATGAGAAATGCTTTCTGTACACGCTCATGATGTGATACCCTATATACCACTTTCCCCAATTATTTTAAAACATATACATAATCTGATAGTGATACTCTTACCGAAACCATTGGCGTCGTGGAGATCGTTGATGATCTCATTCATCTTAGAATCGGTAGGGTTCTCACCCACAGAACGGAGTAGGAATCCGATCTTCTTGAATGGGATCAAGCCATTCTCCTCCCTGTCCAGGAGTTGGAAGGCATTCTTGAAATCTATTCAAGATAAAGAGAATGAGAAAATGAGAGAGAGAGAGAGAGGGGGGGGGAGAGAGAGAGAGAGAGAGGGGGGAGAGAGAGAGAGAGGAGAGAGAAGGACAGGTTCTTGTTCTGTTCCATTTAGCGCCGGTATCCGCCAGGCTCAATATGTCAATATGTATGTATGTACGTACTAGATTTAGGAAAATCAAGGTTGACGCATTCTCGATCGCCGACTGAGACGACGTAACGCATGTGCAGTGCCTTAAAATGACGTCACATGTTGCAGTCAAAGCTGTTGACGTGCAAATCTAAAAGTCCCTTTTCTTAAAAGTCCAATAGAGGGAAAATATATAACGAGTATACGAAATAGAGAAAGAGAGAGAGAGAGAGAAACAGACATAAAGAGACAGAGAGGAGAGAGAGAGAGAGAGAGAGAGAGCAGATTGAGCGGGACATAATGTATAGGCGAAGAAAGAGACACAGAGATAGACAAAGAGAAACAGTGTGACGGAGAGATAGTGATATACTCTCTTTGAAGTTTTTATTACATTAAATTTATTTCACGAAATTGTTTTCTTTTAACTGGTGAATTGCGATGACTTATACAAATCAATTTGATTTAAAAGTAAATGCTTACAGCATTATTTGTTTAAATGGTACAACTTAATTAAGAAGACGGGTGTCAATTAAACGTGATATTCGTACGTCTTCTGCCTGGCCCTTCTGTCATAGGAATGAATTGAGATGAGATAGAAAATACTGAATGTAAATGCTAGAATTACTCCATCCAATGATTATAGGTACATAATAAAGGCTTGAGGAGCTTTTTAATGGCAGGCAACAGTATTTAAATTCCTTACCTTCTATTTCTTCATCTGTGAAATGTTCAGCCTGCAAATTGATAGAGAAATTGGACAAAAAACATATGACTTATTACAGAGAACTGACATTTTTCAACAATTATTTTACATGAGGAAGAAAATGTGGAAATCTACATGTGCTTTCTCCGCAGATACATCCACCCTTATTGTTCAGCTTCTAGATTGGAATATAATTAGATGCTGCTTGTAAGTATCGGCTTGCATGGTGATGTAGATATACAGTAGGCTTGCGGTAACACCATGTGAGAGAGAGGGAGGATTGAAGAGTCCTGAAAAGGACTCTCGGTAACCTTTCTTGAGGGTGTGTAGTCCTGAAAAAGACGGTTGGTTATCTTTCTTAGCTTATAGTTCTAAGGAGAACTATATATAGCGCCGGTTTTCAGGACTACACACCCTCAAGAAAGATTACCGAGAGTCCTTTTCAGGACTCCTCAATCATCCCTCTCTCTCTCTCACATGGTGCTACCAAAGGTGCTACCGCAAGCCTACTGTATGGGATATATTGTTCCTACGCTTGAGGCATATTCTATAGTTAATAGTGTTTACACACTCACTTCAAGTTGTATAGGTTTAGACGTTATTTATTCAGATCTTAACATTGAACCAACCCATCGCTGCACCCTGATACATAATATTTAAACATTTTCATCGGTGTTTTCTGAGTATACGCCCACAACTGATGCAGGGAAGGAAAATATCCTTCTTTGAAGAACTTTGTGATGGGAAAGGCAACAATTTGACATTCTCGATAGCCGTTATAACGTCACTAACGTGTAAACCTACTTTATTAGTAGTAGCAGTATAGTAGTATTATCATTATCATTATTATTATTCATTGCCTTTGGATTATGATAATTTAAAATTCTCACGTTCAACCATTGTAGAGGCTGAGGTGAAACTGCATAGTCTGATGATCGTCGTTTGTTATTTCATCACAAAAGGTGGAGCGCATGATAAAGGCTCACCTAATTACATGAAATCGAGGTTTGGCTTCAATAACTTTTTGAAAAGGAAAAAACGCTCTGAATCAATGGAATAGCAGTAGCAAGTATCCTAGTTATCGATTCTTATCAGCCTTACATGATGGGCCGTGATTGTGTATGAATATCCATCGTCATGGCCAGAATAAAGCGAATAGAATTGAGGTAATAGTTCAATCTCTATTAAAAAAAGCCTAATCTCTATTATTATGTGCATTTGCCCTACACACTCAACTTCAGTTTTGCAAATGCAATCTAATCCTTTTTATCATAGGAAATTTCATTCAGACAGATAATGGCTTGAGGTCAGGCCTTTATGCGGAATTGGCCCTCATTTGTGATATTTTGTAGTAATAATATAAATAATAATTATACTGGATATTTTTATAGCGCGTATTAATATCCACCACGCAAGGTCCTCAAGGCTCGAATATTTTCGGTGCTCACAATATTAAAGGCATACCTTTACCTATTTAACACCTCGGTGGAGAGTGGAAAATGTTGATTAATGTCTTGCCAAATGACATTAGTGCCGCGGTGGGACTCGAACCGCGGACCATGCAATCCGCAATCCGGTGGTGTTTTCAATATAGACTACGAGTCCTCTTCATTTACTAGGTTCATTATTGTTACGGGTGCTTTCATTGTGACTGTAATTTCAGTAAATCGAAATGGTTGAAGACATCAGATAATAAACTAACTTTGTAATAATAATAATAGTACTGTGTTAACATTTAGACATACTCGTATGATTACAAGTGAATCATTAATCTGGTTCAGAAATAACTACCTCCATCCAAGTTGTCTTTAAAGAAGACAAAAACAAATTGAACGAATTGGATTTAATATGCACATGAAGGCACTTTAAGCCTAAATAGGGGCAGGGTAGGGCAGACATTTGGTCGAGGAAGATTTCGATGCGATCGGCCCAGTCATTATAATACAAAGATATTCATAAACTTCCCCGCATTTGCATAGTTATAATCGTATTCGTGCGTGACATCCCGCGAAGGCTGCGACACCAAAAGCGTTAATTTATTTATTTACTTTTTTGTATTTGGGAGCTTGTACATTTCTTGCCTTAATCACGCTGTTCTCATTCGATCTAATGTATCCGAAGTCCTGTCCTTGGATATGAGCATTACTATCATTATTAGGTCAATATGAAGAAAAATTGTATGAAATGTTGATGATCCAGTCGTGGTATACTGCTTGGGAAAGCAATGCGTCTGTCACAATATATCTATAGAGGATTGACTGTTTTTTTTTTTATAACCTTCTCATTTTTAATGGCACTTAGCATCACAGTTTGCAGAGGATCATCCGTTTATATTAATAATTAAAATAAGACACTCATATGCTATCATATTCAGGCCCGGTTCCGGGGGGTCGAGAGGGCCTTGCCCCCCCCCCCCTGACCAACCCCCCCCCCAAAAAAAAAAAACAACAACAACAAACAAACAAACAAAACAAAACAAAACAAAAACGCCCCTTCCCTGGCAAAACAATTTTTTTTTAAATTGTGATCAGAAGTTTACCTTCTGTTTTTGATCAAGAGGGTGGGGGTGTTGATTTTAAAAAAAAAGCGCACACTATGCCAACTCCCCCCTCCCCACTGAACGAAATATCGGCAGGCGCGATTTTCAAATTCCGGATGCAAAAAAGAAAAATCGGTGCTCACTAACCCCCCCCCCCCCCCCCCCCCCCCCCCCCTCACTGACATTTTCAAATTTCCAGGGGCGAAAAAGAAAAGAAATATTAATGCACACTACTTTCCCGATTTGAAAATTTCAGCACACTAAATTAAATTTGGGCCCCCCCCCCCCCCCCCCCCCCCCTCCCCTAAGAAATCCTGGATCCGTGCCTGATCATATTACTACCGTTATCTTAATAATTTAATATTACCTTGGCTCATAGTGTTTATTTACATTTATTACCTCTGTATATGTATTTTTTTCCCGATCTCGGTTATTGTAAAAATAACCCCAATTTGATTTTCTTATGATTGCTAAGGGTATGCTTTTAATTAACAAACCAAATCAAATCAGATCATAATATACCACACGTAGGGCGATAATATTACACTAGCTCAAAGTATAAAATCCTTTGTATATATATACCGATTCTTCTTCGCGCAGTCAATTGATTTTTTTCTTCTTCAGATCATAATATACCACACGTAGGGCGATAATATTACACTAGCTCAAAGTATAAAATCCTTTGTATATATATATACCGATTCTTCTTCGCGCAGTCAATTGATTTTTTTTTTCTTCGCCGTACAGGTATGAATTCACATGCTGTTTGATCATGGTTATCGGGAGTATGTATTATACATAGCTTATGAAATGACACCTCGGCAAATACATACCATTTCAGATACTTGGCAGAGTTGAAATCTTCAAACAATAAACTCTGGTGCTTTGGTACCACAGTCAAAGGTAGTCTTTGCCCGACAAACAAAGATTTTCAGATGTTTTATGCGAATGTAGTGTAGATAGAGGAGTTTGGTTAAGATCAACCAATACTATAAGACAAGTCTGTGATAACTGTAGCTGAAGTCCGTCGTCATGATCAGCATAACCTCAACAAAACCCTTCTAAATTTATAAAGATACTTGATCCAGAGAAAAAGAAAAGATGTACCAGTAACTTTTTGCCAACCTCTGATCAAGTTGCTGGTCCCATGTCGATTGCCTGGAGTGCAGCGTACACAGGCCCAAACTATGACGAGAGAACCAGCTGAATTACAATGGGTTCTGTTTGTATACCTGAATCTTTACTGATCCTGACACACATTCAATCACTCCTAAAAAGTACACGGATCAGCTCTTTCTACGAACTGGTACAGTAGGAAAACTGAAAAGCACTACAAACACTTAGGTAATACAAAGTTTTGGTATGGGGTCATGAATTTGGTTCAAATGAACATATTGGAAGCATATGCGATTTTACAATATGCAATGATCGTTGAAATCGAGTCTAAAGTGATGAAATTGTAAATAATAAACTCTTTATGGTGTATAGTTCCCTCTCAAGATTGCTATTACTTTAGCTTTAGAACATTGTTTCTTGACTACAATCGACCGATATGATATTCCCGTTTAGAAATTATATAACAAAACTGCATATTCTGAGATTTTCATGGTCGCAGCTACCATGGAATGAATGGCCTTAGGCGCTATTTGAAATTTACTGGGAGGACCGGTAAATTTTGTATTATTCAATTTCTCGAAAGCAAGAGTGTTTTAAGGGCTAAATGTTCTAGTGCTTTTAATACATCCAGGAGCATCCAAATATATCAAAATGGTAAAGAATGACTATCCATCCAATTTTCAACATTTCCCAAAACTTTGCATTATCTTTAAGCTTATTAATTTTTAAAGAATATTTGGATGATGCTTATTGTGGCTTTTCCAACATTAGTCACTAATAAACAATCATAATACAAATGCATTCTTCCCCATTTTCAGGGTCTTGATTCCGGGTAATACCCTTACAAATCCACTCCCATTTTTCAGATGATGGATTCTTCAAGGCGAGTTTCGAACCCGTAAATTTGTATTTCAATTCCATGTACCACTCTTTACTTTGAATTAGGCCCGGGGAATTAGGCAGTCAAAATTAACCTCTTCTTTCAATGTTTTTGTTAATGAGCGATAAAGCTTAAACCGGCATTCCAAATTGCTCAAGACTAAACTCTCATTTTTAATGCAAGCGTTACCGTTTATTCATCCACAAAGAAGGAACCGGAAGAAAAAACCCAGCTTATACCCCTAAACTACCGAAGATTCAAACCCGCACTATTGTTAAAAGGGTGCTTTTATGAATTCTCCCAATTTCAATTCGAAAATTATGTTCATGAATTTCATACAAAGAAGTGTAAGAACGACAACATCATGACGTACCTTGTATGACAATGGTTGAACAATTCCCTTACACTGCATCAAATTCGTATTCAATCGGCGCATGAAAGATGCCGTAATACCGACAACAAAAAATGCCTTAGGCGGTAAAACTTTATCTTTGGGAGGCAAAAATTGATCTTTTTCAAAAGTTTCATCATTCTGAACCTTTGTAATTCCGCAACACAATTTCCCATACCATGGTGTTCATAATACCACAAATAAAATAGCGTTCATAATCCTGAACATTTGCTGCGTCATTTCAAAGGTTCGTTTATCCTAAAGTTCAAAATTACGGAAGTGAAAGACGGTTTATTATTTCGAAGGTTAGTAATTCTGTAAAAACAATAAGTCATTTTCGGAAATATGAGACAATTTTTCCTTTTAATCTCAAATGCATGTCATAACTTCAAGTAGGCCTACAATTTGTTAAATTTGAATAATATCCTCTCTTATTGGTACCTTAAAATCGACTCGCAAAACACATCTATTTTTTTTATACTGCATGTTAATGATCATGATTATTGCTTTCAAATTATACAACAAAATGTCATATTTTTTTCTTTGATTTCGTGCACTCATGAAAAGTCTATCCACTGTTATGTGTAATAAATAATCCACCCCTTCTTTCCCTCCCTCTTTCTCCACTACCCTTCTCTCTCTCTCTCTCTCTCTCTCTCTCTCTCTCTCTCTCTTCCTCCCTCCCTCTGTCACTATGTCTTTGCTGATTAGTGATATCAATTCATCATGAAATAAATGAAATCATGTCGACGCCATAATTATTATTAGATTTTTTTTTTAAACTATCAAAATACCTTACATTATGATAATCGTGATAATAACAATGAAAAGAGCTCATTATTAAAGATGAAAAGAAAATAGGTAAAATGCAGTGTCATGAAATAATTCAATCGCGATTTGTTATATTTTTATGAAAAGATTATTCAAGGACTCTTCCTATATACGTACGATCTTGTCAGGGATTTCACTCTGGTCATCATGCATGCAATCGATGAAGTAGTTTTATCGTACTTTTAATCCATTGATATATCTGCCTGGTTTTGGTTAAGTGATTAAGAGTATCTGAGTTTACGACAAAACTTGAAATAGAATATTGACCTGTGGGTCATGAAGTATACAGAGAAGGATGTATATTATTCTGCAATACAGTCAACATGTGGGTGGAAACAGGCGCGTACGCAGGATTTTTTCAAGGGGGGGGGGGGGGGGGGGGGGGGGTTTAACATTTATAAATCGGGCCGAAAATTTCGCAACGACTCAGCCAGCCGCTGAATAAGCGGGGGGGGGGGGGGGGGGGGGGGGGGGGGGGGTAAGAGGACACTTTTTTTTTTTTTTTTTGGTCTCGAAATTTGGGGGGGGGGGGTAAGGTCAGCTTTTTTAGGTCAGTCGTGGGAATTTTTTTTTTTTTTTTTAATAATAAAAAAAAAAAAAAAAAAAAAGTCCAAAGGGGGGGGGGGGGGGGGGGGTTTACACACAAAAAATACCAAAGGGAGGGGGGTTTAACCCCCCCCCCCCTGTGTACGTGCCTGGGTGGAAATAATGATTCGCGTCTGAAATACAAGTCATTAATGATAAATATGCGGGTCGATCTTTGCAGTGGTATTTTAGAATTTCAGAATTTAGAATATGAATGATACAATCATGTTAACAGTAGGTTCATTGTACCCTTTAACTGAGATGAGGCTACAAAATAATAGTTATGGTATCTGCTGTTTGGAACCAGAATAATTCTGTGTAATTATGTCATGAGTTATACCGCCACTCTGCCTAAAACGGACGGTTTGTACTTTTGACAATAACAGCATTACAGTAGAAAGAACGTCATTTACTTTTTTGTCATAGTTTTTGTGTGGGTTTAGTTCAAATTAATAAATTGTTCAAGGACACATTCTCAAAAGAAAATTGTGAATTTGAAAATGGGACGAGATACACGATGGCTCATATCCAATTGATTAAAGTGAACCAATGGGAAGGAAACTGGTGTAATAAATATATTTTAGGTGATATTAAATATCACCATACCAGGCCTCATATACTTACAACAAAGACTTGTTTGAAATACTGAAAGAAGACATGGAAAGGCATGAAGTCACTGAATGGGTGATGGGAAATAAAGATCATAATTATACACTTGAAGATCTCTATGTGCTCAACAAAAAGCTCCCTCTATGGTTGTAAGGTATGGTGGAATAAAATATTTATAATAAACAGCGTAGTAAGACACCGAGTAAGATAATCATATTCTTCCATTATGCCATACGATACATTATGATAGACTCAAAAATTGTCTTCGTTTGGAAGTGGAATTATGATTACAATTGAAAGATGCAGCTAGAAAATGAATATGCAATTCAATTTTGAAAATAAAAAGACATTTTGAACAACTTTTTTAATCTTAAATAATCTGTTGTACGCTTTCACATCTTACACGTAACATTTAGGGACTTGAGGCACCTGACTGAAATACTCCCTGGGGAGTGGAGTTTTGCTCATATTGTGTGTGGGCAAGCCTGACTCCGATGAATCAAATTTGAATTCATATAATGATTCTTCTCCTTTCCCTTCTTCTTCATCTTTCTCTTCCTATAGTTGTATTATTGATAGCAGCAGTATCACAATAATGATTATTATCATCATTATTACATTTAGTATCATTAGTGTGGTGGGTATAAAAGTTAATTTCGTAATTATTATCATTATAATTGTTGTTATATGTTATTATTAATATTCTTATAATTATTGTTATGTTTCTTCTCCTTATCATAATAATCTTTTGCAATACGTTATGTGCCAAAAAAATTCGCTATGATATATCAAAGATGTCTACCAAAAGTGTCAATTCGTTACTGAAATACTATCAAGAGAAAATAAGAAACATTATAGAATTCATATCTCAAATTGAAATAAAATATAAAGAAGAAATAAGTAGAGATTACAATCCTGACAAAAGAAAATATGTCATAAATTATTGTCTTTAAGCTTAACCTTATTTGCATCTGGCTCTAGTTTTGCTTGGTTATTTGGTACTCGATGATGAACACAACATGGACACAATGAGCTTGTTTACTATTTGATGAAATTAAGAAAAAGTTTACATAATTTAAAATGATTACTTTCTGTTTTCCATGACCCTCGGGTATAATGATCTGTCTGGTTGCTGGTTGCAATAAGGTTGGTGATGGACGTGAGCGCTGGGCTGTTATAATGAAAACGAATAAAGAAATATTGGATTTTTTAAAGGAAATATTATAATTTTCAACAACATGGAGAAAATAGAAAGCAACTATAGCTTTAGAATTCTGTTTGCTTATGATTAAAAATGTGAGTCTATTCAAGTAACAAAAAGAAAAAGCCATAGTGAAACAGAAGCCATCGTACATCCCAGTGATGGTGTGGACGGCTTAAGTCAATAAGTCAAGTAACAAAAAGACCGTTGCGATGGAAACGGAATGTTGAAGAAGTTGTTATTTTTATACCACGCCCCCTCCTAAAATGAGAATAAAAAAACCTAATCAATACAAGGAAACATTGGAATATAATACTATAAATGAAATAAACTAGGTATCAATTTGAAATTTCAGGACTCATGACCAAAATTCGTTTAACAGTTGATTCCACTTGGTTGATTCTATTGTTTGGATTATTTAGTAGAGAGAAGTTGACATTCTCATGACTAACGACCTTGCATTATTATTTCTATTTATTCATCATCTCTACAATTCT